CTGGGCGCAGGTTGTCAATAGCCAAGGCTTGCGGACCCAAACCTTGGGGTACGTATGTGCGTTGGGGTACTGCTGGAATCTAACCAACTAAAACCCGCACAGCTTGCCATTGATGTTCTTGTCTGGCAAGCTTTCTCATTGCTTCCAGCTAGGAAGCATACTCATACTCATTAGGGCTTTGGCTTGCATGGTTAACAGGAGCTGCGTGGGATGACTCCCTGCCCCTGCTCTGCCCTTCCAGGTGCTGCAGATGAGCCAGGCTGACTGTGCTGTTATCAGCAGTGCCCTGCAATACTGTGGACCTGCCTGGCTCAGGAACCAGACTACCGAGACCCCCTAGAGGGCAGGCTCGATTCTGGCATTCCACTGCCAGGCATGTCTTCTTGGAGTCAATCCTTGGAGATCCCACTTACCTCCCCCAACCCCCTGTCAACCTGTCAGTAGGATTGTGCATTTATCTATCAGTGAAATCAAGAAAATGGATAGCTTAAAATAATTAAGAAACAGCAATCTCATCGTAGTGTAAGAATAAAAGTAGGCTGTTGAAAAGCTATAGTATATCATGTGAAGCACTTTTAGACGCCATCCTGACGTGAAAAGCTATACCCCCAAAAACAATTTGGTCAGTCAATCCATGATGTTTGTGGCACACACTGCTGTCCGCAATTGGCTGCCACGTTTTGCCCACAAAATATACAGTCAATTCACTTTGCAGTATATTCTGTGAAGTGCTTTGAGACGTCTCAAGGACATGATAAGGCTCTATATCAAATGCAAGGATTATTATTTTTACCAAAGGCAAGAATTGTTATTCATACAATACAAACTGAAATATTGGTTGACTTTGCTGATCTCAACCAGAGTAGCAGTTGGAGTGCTACAATTGGCCTCATTACACCTGGGTTCTGGAAGGGGAGATGAGCCAGGTTATCGGGTTCCCTTTTGAAAGCTACAGAAACTGATAGTTAAAATTGATTGAAAATGTATTAAGGTGAGTTCCTGATGTTCGGTTTTGCAAAGGTTAGGCACCTCCTGCAGGGAGGAAAATTGGATGAAAAGTTGGTCTCAGGCCTCTTCCTCCTTGTGGCTGTCTCTCTTTCCTATATTGTGGCATTTTTAAAAATAAACAGCCAGCAAGCTATCCCAGACATCAGAGGGTTAGAGACAACTTGCTACTCACACGACATGGTAAATCCTTGCATCTGTGCTTTCTGTCTGAAAAAGGTGCAGGGAACTATCCTGCTTTTTTCATTGTTTCGGAGCTTTTCAAATGGTGTGAGGCCATTATCAATATATGTGCCAGCAGTGAATGACGTCAGTCTCTGCTCTTCAGTTGCTACAAACAAAGACATGGTTATAGCTTTTAAACGGGCAGAGCACTGTGAATCACACTCCCAAAGCTCTTTTGTTTGAAAAGCAAATAAGGACGGTGGAATTCCAAAGGAATGCCATCACAGTTGAAGCGATCATGGATATTTGCAGAATATCAGTAGAATATTAGTTTGCACGGAACCATTTGAACTACCTGATTCAAAAGAGTTGACAATCGATATTTATTCTTGGTTGTAAATCTGCACAGAGTCAGATTTGTTTTCCAATTATGTTTACTTGTCTACATTCCGTCAGTAATGGAAACACTCTCAGGATCTGGTTTGGATAAAGTATCAGCTCAAGACAAAACACAGACAGATAAAGCTTAGTGGGAGAAGAAAAAATGCGACTGTGTTTTTCTGCCCCAAATTATGTTTTTGTGAATTAGTAATTGGAGTACTCATTCCTGCAGTGCTCTAGATGTGTTCTATTTAAAGGAGATTCTCCTACAGTTTCAGAGACTCAGAAATTGCAAAGGCTTCAAAATCTTTGCAGCTACTTTTTCAGCTGCTGAAGAATATGTGCACCACAGCACATGTGCTATCTGCTGGAACACATCCTACTGTTTTCATTTTTCAATGAACTTTCAACAATCCACACCAGATGATAAGAAGTTAAAGACACAGTCAGATTGTTTTTGGTGAGGGGACAAATCTGTGTATCCGGTAATCTAAAACATCAAGTTGCCCTGCAGCACAGTGCCATTTTTTCAATGGCATGAAACAATTATTTTGACATGAATTGCAAAGTTGTGTTTGACTATATTTTCTACAGTACACTGAAATATATTTATGATTTTCAAATTATACAACCATAAAAATGTAAGAAAAGATCCAATTCAAAATCATTCAGAATGTATAACCATGAATTTGTGTTAAGTGTAGACTGCTAAGTAATTGAAATTTGTGAACTAGAAAATTATTCCCCAAACTGGATTGTGTGGCAATGTGTACTTACCCTGTGCACTTTCGGCCTGATTGTTCAAAGCAACCTCAGTATAACAGTGTGAAATGGCAGAGAATATACATGCTTTTACATCAATATGTATAAAACAGATTTGTCAAGAGGTCAGGTGATGTGCATTGACATGAAGATATTTGAGCCACAGAAATTGTCAGGAATGAGGTCTAAACTCTCACTTGAATTCACCTGTACATTAGTAAAGTATCTAACAGTCCAAGAAAGTGCAAAAATAATTGCATCCAACTGGATAATTTCCTTTTTTTCTGACTGATAAAAAATGAATACAAGGTGTGGGCTTGACTGAGTTGATAGCACTCTTGCCTCTGGGTCAGCAGGTTGTGGGTTCAAATCCCACTTAGGGGATTTTGAGCAGAACAAGATTAGTAAAGTATTGGGCAATTTCAGGACTAATACAAGGTAGTAGTTCTTTACCAAGGTGGTAATTAATGATCGGAACAGTTTATCAGGAAGGGTAGGTGAGACGAGGAAACTGGACTCATTTAAAATAATAAGTTGGTGCTGTGTAGAGTTTTTTTCTGGAAGGCTGATAGGGTGGACTGAAAAGCCTTCTTGATCTGAATCAATCTTGCGATATGTATATGCAGTCTCCTTCAGCAGTAATTACAGGTTTGTCATTTTTTTGTGCTTGTGTTGCATACAGTTTAAGCTTTTATGAAGGCTTCAAAGTAGTCATGAAAGGATCAGTCAACAGGCTGGAGCAGGTAATCCAAATAACAGTCATGGCCTAGAAAATATACTATTTTGCTATTCAAAGGTTGAAAGATGAACATTTTTCAAGATGGTTTAAATAAATCTTACACAAATACACCCTTCCACCACCACAAACTACAGGCGAGTTTGAGTAACTACTGTTTTTTGGTTATACTTTTAGAATAAACAAAATCTTTGCTAGAATAGAGGATATAGAACTGATTAATTCATATACTCATTATACCATGTTGCATTATTTATTTATGTTTTGATCCTCGATAATGATGATCTTTGCATTTGATATAGTTCCTTATTACATCATTGAGACAACAACAACAACACGATTACATTTGTATAGCGCCTTTCACATCGGAGGACGTCCCAAGGCGATGGACAGCATTTCAGATCCGAGCTGGGGTCAGGATGGGAGAAGGGAGGGCAGAGCAAGGGAGGTGGCCGATGGCCGAAAAGGAGGGTTTTGAGGCGGGCCTTGAAGGAGGCTAAGGAGGGGGCAAGGTGGAGTGATTGGGGATGGAATTCCAGAGGTTGGGGGCAGAGTGGCTGAAGGCTCTTCCACCAATGGTGGGGCGGGTGGGTTGGGAGACATGGAGCAGGCCGGAGCCAGCTGAGCGGAGCGAATGGGCGGGTTGGTAGGGGGTTAGGAGGTCACAGAGGTAGGGAGGGCGAGGCCATGGAGGGCTTTGTAGGTGAGGACCAGGATCTTGAACTGGATCTTCTGAAGGATAGGGAGCCAATGGAGTCAGGCGAGAATGGGGGAGATGGGGTCACGGAGTTTGGTGCAGGAGAGGACACAGGCTGCAGAGTTCTGGATTATCTGCAGCCCATGGAGGGAGGAGTTGGGAAGGCCGACAAGCAGTGCGTTTGCGTAGTCGAGTCTGGAGGTGATGAAGGCATGAACAAGAATTTCAGCGGCATGAGGGGTGAGGTAGTGGCAGAGTCGGGTGATGTTACGGAGGTGAGAGAAGGCAGAGTGGGTTATGGCTTGGATGTGGGGAAGAAAAGACAGTTGAGGGTCGAACAAGACACCTAGGTTCCTGACTGGCTTGGTGAGTTGTAGTGAGCAACCATGGGGGTTGATGCTGCCAGAGCCTGAGGTGCAGAGGCGCTGGCGCGAAACATCTCAAAGAACTTCACAGAATATTCTGTAAAGTGAATTGACTGTGTATTTTATGGGCGAATGTTTTGGTTTAAACGCGCATGTTACCAGTTTTTAAAAATTTGAAATGTGATCAATGAATGTCCCAGGTTGTATGTATCAACACTACATTCTCAAAATACAGGATGCTGACACTCAGCCAAATGGATCGCAGAGTTTTAATAAAGTGGTTAGTAACTGATACTGAGTGGGCTGAGACTACCAGGCAAATTTACAAAAAACTGCTAAGCCAAGAAAACTTCCCTTTTTTTTGTTTTTTTATACCTGCACACTTTATCAGAAGATTGATAATGTCTGAATCAAGTCAGAGCCCAGCTGGCTGCTCTCATGGGTTGTTGCAGCCATGGATTTCCTGCGTTTATAACACTTATTTGTAGTGTATTTTAGGATCCGAGTACTCCTCAATTAGTGGGGCAGCTGGACTACATTAGAATCTATACGTGGTTGTGAAGTTTCTTTTAACTTACTGTGGAGAGGTTGTGGATATGTAGCATGAGCACTAAATCAAAACCATCAAGTCGATTTAACAAGACTGTTCCAACCATTGGGACAGGGGGGGGAGGGGAAATCACGCCTGGAGCCCTGTTATCAACTATCTTGACTCCATTTATCAATGATGTGACAATTAACACTTCACACATTGCAATTTCCGCCCATGATTCACCTCCCAAATGGGCAACTGCAAAGTGGGCAAACATTCGTTAACAGGAGAATAACTTTGCATCATTGCAGGGGGCTGACTGAGTGTGCATAAATGTCTTTGTTTCCTTTTTTGCAGACCCAGAACAGAATGAAGCTGATGGCAGATAATTATGAGGAAGAGCACCTGAAATCCTCAGCACATTTGGAGCAGACAAATCATAAACCCTCCCCGGACCAGGTGGGAATGATTTTGCCTTTTACTGGTAATTGCGCAGTGAGTGGTTAGGGTTTATATGGCGCCATTAACACTCCTCCCAGACATGTCCACAAACATTCAGACATAAATGCATAGAGTAGAATTTGAAATCGAGAGCCTGAAACACACCCAGTGAGATCATTGACCTGTATGGGAAGGTGGATAGTATGTTTGACCAACTTTCTTTGACCTACTCACATCACAGTCAGACTTGGAACAAATTCTTCTACTGAGCAGAAAAAACAGCAACTCTGAAGGCAAGTTCACCTTTGCTTTGCAGAGGTTATCAGAGTGGTGCCTTTACATACAATGTTCATGCATTAGGATGTTGTCACATGCTTCCTTCTGCTGGTCCACACTTGGGTGGCAATGACAGTGTAGGTTTCTTGATTGAAACCAATTCAGTGCCATTTGGTCCAGTTTCGCATGATGCCTGTTTGAATGCTGTGAAACTTAGCCGATTTGCTCCCCTTTCACAGCAGTCCCAGATTGCAGTCAGACCATTGGCACCAGTCTAAATGTGCTGTATGGATTAAGTACAGAAGAAGTCCTCCGAGAACTTCACCAAAGCCACGTCCTAGACAGAAACATATTCATAACACATGCTTGGTCGAGAGAGTTTATTTCACAGTAATAGAAATGAAGCCAAATTTACATTATTTTCATATCGTTATTGAACACAAGATTGGCTGTGACATAGCAACGAGATCCAGGCTTCACTGCACTCTGCATTCAACACAAAGCACAAACTGCCAGCTCTCACAGAAAAAGTGTCAGAGTTGTGTTCAAATGGACGAGTATTTTTTTCTTGCTACAAGAATACCTAGAAGTTATTTTTTAAAAACTAAACATTGTGTTTGTCTATTGTAATTCAGGTGAATTTGACATCACGTAACAAAAATATATAGGAACAGCATGGTGTAAACCTCCTGTAAAAACCCACCTCACTAATCAATGTCAACAGCTTACGTGTGTTGTATTATTAAAAGCCATTAATACCCACATTCCAGCTGGACTGTTCTCCCAATGGTGTCTAAAGTGATTTTTGAGTGCACAAGCTCCACGGTGAGAAGTTAGAGAAACTCTTGACAGAGTACACAGGAAAACAGAGCTCATCCACCGTATGAGCGCTCTGCTCTACTCTTTAAACAATGCTCGGAATAGTCTATGTACTTGAATGTTTTTTTCCATTTTGTACTGCTCCAATATGGTTCTAATTCTAATTGCATTTCCATTTATGATCACACTTGGTTTACAGCCTTTACAACTGATATTCTCAGCCAGTGAACGCCTTCTCTGATGCTCGGTTTTTCCAGCTCAAGTCACGTACCATGTGTTTCCATTTACAAGCTTTTGCATTTGACATGCCTGTTTTTTCTTGCCCCATCCACGTAGCATGGCTGAGCAAGGAGCAACAAGTGGACTGATTGCCAGGACCATTTGCAGCAGAACTAAGGGTGGATTAAGCCCTTCTTCTGTTTTCTCAGGCATTGTCCACTGAATATTCTTCATTTGCTGTATTTAACTTATCAGTTGGTATTTTAACCAGCAAAATGTAATTTAATTAATCTGAAGAGTTTTTTTCCACACTGGGTAATTTAACACCGTCTTACATAATGTGCGGAAAAAATTGTGTTCAAGCAATCAAGAAAGTCACTACTATTCCTACAGAATATTTAACTGCGATTTTAAGATATTTATTTCACTCTTCAAATCGGCATTTTATTTTATTGCACTAAATTAGAAGCTCCATAATGCAGGAAATATTTCCTTACGAATTGGAGTTCCCATTTTACTCCAAAGCTCCTGTTACTTTCTAGTGACTGTGTAGAGGAACCTTTGCAAACCAACCACCAAAAGCTAGCTCTTCAAATCTAGTCCCAAACTCCCTGGCACTTTGAAAGAGCTGAGTAAAAACTCAGCATCAGGTCCACTTTCTTGCTTTTAATGTTTTGCTTTAATAAGTATCACAGCACGTAAGTGAGGTGTTCACTGATTTAAATTGTGCCAGACTTCTGTCTGCACTCTCAAAGGGGAATTGTCATTAGGAATTTGGGCTTGTAAGCCAGAGGTTGCTACAAATAAATATGAATGAGAGCGTCAAATGTATGTATTATATATATTATTTGTTTTTTACAAGAATAGCCTTGTTGGCAACAAACATCTCATTTTTGGCCACTGTTCAGAAGACTTGTCATTATGGTCTCTGCAATATCACTTGTGTGTTTCCAAGTTGAAAATTCCTAATGATAAAGCTGCTGTAAACTGGGTCTGTTATAGTGAAGAAAAATTTGAAACTTTCAATTCATGCTTGAAGTAGCCATCCCTAAACACTGGGGGGACAGGATTCTGAATCCCAGTCTCAAATGGTTCTGGAGCTTGACTACCCCACACCCCAAGCATGGACATGTGACACACATCTTTCAGGTCACTTATAAAACCGTTTTAACAATATTTTTGCATAACACCACAGCTCAGACTGTTCAGAGGCAGACTATAAGTATAAGGGATGTTTTATTGAAATATTGAGTTTAAATGCAGCTCAACAACTACATTTGTTAAATGAACAGAGGAATATGCGTGATGGTGAATTGGTAACATCGGGGTTCTTAAAAGGAAGTCTGAGAAGAGGGGTAAATATTAAAATTGATATTTGAAGACATACACTCTGAAATAATGCATTTTCTCGCCTACTGCTATCACAGATTAATAAAAGGTAGGTTGTCCAGCAGTTCATTTGTTCATCCCTAACAACTTTTATTTTGCACAGAACAAATGACAGCAGATAAGTCTTCTAGGAAGCCATTTCTGCATATTGTTATTCCATATTATTAATGTACAGTCTCATTGTTGCCTTTATATGCTAACTTACTCTTGTTTTGTCCCCATGCTATCATTGGTTTTCCTTGTCATCTGCAACCATAGGATGATGAGGAGGGCATATGGGCATAGCCAGTCAGATGATCTTAAGCAGCCATTTTGTTCAGAAGGGTGAGAACCTGTTTTAAATCCTGTTTCTCACACTCACTTGCACACGTTGATTCCAAATTGCTAACCTCAGTCTTGTGTGTGATGTTCTTCATTTTCATTTGAACACCTTGTTAACCTTTTGTGTGTGTGTAGGGGTGGGGGTATTTAAATGTGACTTTTCAGACTTTTCAACCCTTCAAACGTTCTAGAAGAGGAGAGATCAAGACTATTCTGTACAGTTAATGTAAAATATCTGCCATAATTGAGGGAACCCCCGATCGATAATTGAAATTAGTGGATAATCAAGGTTTAATAGAGGTCATTTTGTTCAGTGCTGATCAAAATATTTTATGAATGGATGGATTTATCTGTCAGCAGCAGTCTTTTTTGAAATATGATAGTTTAAGATACCAGAGGGAGCCTAGAAGTGTAAGGGTTGTCGTAGTGAGATGTCGAGTTTAAATGCAGCTCAACAATTATAGAGTTTATTGTAGGAACCATTGAAGATGTGAAAAAAGGATGTGTTATCGAGGGTGCTGCATTACTCTAGTAGTTGCAGACATCATAGAATCAACAGCTTGGTGCAGTGCAGTCAATTTTGGTGAAGTTGTTGAACAGCATAGTGTTTGTTTTTAGAAATAATTTAATACTGTATCTCAGAAATAGATATATAACTCATGAGCTTGTAACTCATACCCCAGTGAGAGTTGCATGTAGGTGAGGGAAGGTGGAATCCGAAGTACTCGATATGCGGTAGTTCACCTTTCCTGAATGACAACCGGCTCTTCTGGCATGAGCCTGTTTTGTTTAAATAGTTCCATTTGGAAAAGATATCCTTTCACGGAGACGATTTCTGCCTCTCACTTAGAAAGATTAATTAGTCATTCACCTTATATGTTTTGAGATATTTGAATTGATGAAAGCGCAAAATCATGTATAAGTACAATATATTATAGTTTAACACAGCAAAATTGAAAGACAGCATGAAAATCAACCCTATTTGATTGTAAACACAACCAACATATTTTCACAGTCAGTATGTGTAACTGTAATCTAGCTTTTGTCACATCAGAACCTGGACACAGACTCTGTCTGTACAGCACCAATACTTTCCCCAAAAATCTTTTTCAAGGCTGAAAGAGCTGAAGCTTATCTGGTTATTTTTTATAGCACACCCCTCTAACACTTGGGATAAGCTTCATTGCCCTCCTCTATGCTGTCTTTGGATCCTGGGCAGTGCCAAAAGCTGAACTCGTTGTGGAGAGGGTATCATAACAAGCTGAATTAAAATGCCATGCCCTTCTGCCCTTTGGAAGCATTAGAGGCATTGCTAATGTTACTTAACTGTTAGTTTCTGTTGAGTGAAAAAGTGAAGTCACTTAATTTTTTATACATTTAAAGAGGAACAGCTTTAAAGCATAATGTCATTGATAAAGCCATGACTATAATTTGTATAATGTTCAGTGTACAAAGTAATGAACTTACTTCTGCACAATAGACACATTCATAAGAATAATCTATTCCTATTTTAATTGTATTACGCTACTGGCCGCAATTTAATGCACAGGGTGCAATGCATGCTAAATAATAAATAGAAATGCAATTGTGCATGTGTGATCATGGAAAAATCTGCAGCTCTTTTGGACAGATGAGTATTTTGCCAAGAAAGCAATCAGCACTGCTGGGGAATAAACACACGCGGTGCAAATTGATTCAGTCTCTGCTCAAGTCTTCCGTTTTAGTTGCCCTTAAAAGTTTCAAATGTTTTCATCCTATTGAGACATCCTCTTTAAAGTTTGGTTGTGCATATATGAAGCTCTCCTTGCAGCAGCGATTTTAGAGCGGGAATTACAAATCCTGTTTCCTGCGCCTAATCTCTTTATTGCCGAAAGCAATTTCAAATTGCTTCCAGCAGGATAAATGAACCATTACATGACACAGGCTGCACTCTAGGACTATGATTAACAGTTAATAAATAACATTAGCAATGGGGAGAGGAGGGAACAGTATGG